ATGATTTGGCGGTGCACGTGGTCAGCCGTTGGCGTAAGCCAAGTGGGGTTTGCACATAACACCTTCCAACCCGCCTTATCCCTTGGCAGGTCACTGGTGAGCATACTTAGGATTTACATAAGCAAATGGACTTAGCTCAATTTAATGCTTTAAAAGGTTGCTAATAAAAATGAGATTATCATCTGCACAATTTTTTATCTCTGGTTTTACTGCGCTTCGAGCGCGGTAATTTGCAATAGTTTGCAAACATGTGCTAAATTTTTCACTGGTCTTTGGTAAAAACATCAGAGGTAAGTTTGTTCCAGCGAACCTAGCTTGGGGGAAAATGTCCTTCATCTTAAGAATTTTGCTCTTTATCTTCAGAAATGGTGGTGAGTAGACAGTAGATGTGTAATCTACTGTCCTTCTCTGGCAAAACAAAAATGTTGGCAACACTATGAGGTTATGTTTGTTTTTCTCTCTTACCTGTTGTATACTTTCCTAATCTGTCTTAACAGATAACTTTTTAGAGCAATTTTGGGTTCACAGCAACATTGAGAGGAATACAGAGGTTTCCCGTATACCGTCCCCCAAATGCCCAGCCTCCCCCGTTGGCAACATCCCCACTAGATGGTGCATTTGCCACAGTTGATGAACCCATGGTGACATCATCATCACCCAGAGTCCACAGTACATGCTACGGATGTGCACAAATGTGCAATGACATGTATCCACCGTGATGGCGTCATACAGTCATTCATGGCCCTACACATCTCTGTTCCAACCGCCCACCCCTCCCCTGTACCCTCAGCCACTGGCAACCACAGATCCCTTTACTGTCTCCATGGGTTTGCTTTTCCCAGAATGTCATAGAGTTGGAATCACTCGGTGATTCCCACGCTACAGGATGCTTTTTCCGATGGGTTTCTTACACTTGGTGATATGCATTTAAGGCTTCCCCGTGTCTTTGCACCTCTACTTAGTGATGGATAACTCATTTCTTTTTAGCGATGAAAAATACTTCACTGTCCAGATAGACCAGAGTTTCTTAACCCGTCACTACTGAAGGGCATCCTGGTTACATACAGGTTTTGGCAATCATGGGTAAAGCTGCTGTAAACATTCTTGTTCAGCTTTTTGTGTGAACATAAGGTTTTAATTCATTTAGGTAAATACCAAGGAGCTTGATCACTGGATCGTACGGTAAGAATATGTTTGGTTTTATTCTTGGCCTTTTAAAACCCTTCCTTTTTTAAAATTCTTGCAGAGCCTGGAAACCGCTTATTTTCCTGTGTTCCTTCAGGATTCCTTCTTTTCAGGAAAAGACAACTTCCTACTTTGGGTTTTTTTTATTTTAAAGGCCCTTTGTTTTATATGAGAATAACAGACATTTTGATTCTCCTTATATGTTGATGTTTAGGAAGTGGACAACATGAACACATCCATTGAAGTTCCTACAGAAATGAAACTTGCTTATTTTTTTGTAAATTCAGTGTTCCAGGTGCTCTAGTTTGAACCATGTGAAGGTGTCAATTTTATACATAAGAATGTGTGACTATTGGTAAATCGTATGGTTTTACAGGACCCTTGTGCATGAACTTTCCCCCCTCCATTCCCAGCTACTAAGTCCCTACGTCTGGTACACTTTGAGAAATTCCACATTAAGGGCAAAAATATACTAATGATTCTGAGGTTCTATAATTAATTGGGTTTCTGCAAGGTTGTCTTAAAAACTCTATAAAAAGGCCAAAAAAATATATAAAATGTTGCTTGTTATAATTTAGATTATTATAAATTAGATTATAATTATAATTTATAATTTTTCCCGGACTCTAAGGAAACTTGGGCTTCTCTGTTGATCTCTAAAGATTTGTGACTGACCTTCTGTCTCCTTTTTTATTGCTTTATTTGTGAATTGAAGATATTATACCAATTTCTAAGGACATTTGCATTTAACCCTGCATTCTGTGTTGTACATTTTCTCTTTGCCTTTTTAGATTATTCTCTGCCTTTTCCCAAGCTGCTTGCTAACCCTAGAGGTGAACATGTGTGCACTAGGCCTTCTCTCCTATTTGCATTCATCCACTGGGGAGCTCTGGCAGGACATGAGAAATACAGGATGTAGTGTGTGGTGGGGGGTTTGATGTACCCTGTTCCCTCCCCTGTCGATTTCCCTGGGGCTGGCTGTGTCCCTCCATCGAAACTTACTGCTTTTCTCAAGAAGTTGTGTCTGTCCATGTTCTTTCCAGATACTTATAACCAGTTCTCAGCAACCACACCTCTACCTGGGGTTAACCTTTTAAGGAAGCCCTCTCAAATAATCCTATTGGAAGTGTGCTCTAGGTTTTGTGTTGGATCCTTATTTAATTGTAAATAAGTTTGCAGTTCTATGAGCAACATTGGGAAGCCTGTGAAATGGTCAAGGATGTGTTCCACTCTCTGTTGTTAGAACAAAGGCCATTTCTCAGTTTTCTAAGTGAAATTGTATCCACTTCAAGCTCCTATGCATGAAGGTAGATGAGAAGTCCAATATCAGTCTGTTGTACAAAGCCCCCTCCCCATGTTGTGGTGTGTGGGGAGTCAGGATGTGTTCTGTGTGGTGAGTAGCAGGAGACCAGGTCCTCTCTGCTCTCTTTGGGTGCTGTTCTTGCCCTTGGTGGCCACACAGATTCGTCTCACGGAGGCTCTGTCTGTGGATAGAGCTGGAACACAGCGGCCCTGCCCCTCTCCACAGCCAAGATGCTCCATGAACTTCGAGTAAAGTCTGCCATTTCTGGGACACCAGTGGGAGTGAGATACTGGGACACAAGACTCTGTGTCTCTGAGAACTTGATGAAAAGTTGACTCCTACACCTAGTTACCCTAGATGTAACAGTCAGAATTTGCCCAGGACAAAAAAGTTTCCTAAAACCCCTCAGGTAATAAAACTGACACGCCCATGTTCCAGGAACCCCTGTCGGCACCAGTGCACTGGGGCATTTTGGTCAACCTACCCTTACCTGTGACCAATGTGCCAGTCTCCATCTCTGCAGTTGTGGGACCTTCCTTTCCTCATCAGACTTTCCTCATGGGAGGCTCCATTGAGAAACCAAATTTAAACTGGAGTCTTGCTAAACCAAAGGTCTGAATCTCCTCAAAATATGCAAAAGAGTCCATCTCTCCAGACCAAAAGGGCTTTGCTCCTCTTCTGTAAGTGAGAAGAAGGCAAAGTCCATAAATTTTTATCTATGATCTTGAGACAACAACAACAACAAAGGCACTTTATATATAAGTTAGATTGTTTTAGCATTCATAAGTCAAGCTAATGTTAAAATTTGAAGTATTAGCACCACACTGCGATTTCAAAATAAAATTTAAAATGATGGAACTGAAAAAAAAATGTTTTCCTCATGTAATTGATGCCAAGTATAACCACTGTTCCCAGGCAAAAGTGCCCTTTATTCAGTAGTATTAAATTCGAGTTTTCTTGATAAGCCATTTTAACTTGATAGCATGCCAATAATATGTGAACTAAGAATTATAGGTGTCACTGAATTACTGGAGGGAAAAATACTCATTTGGGCATTGGTTTTCTTAGAGGTACTTAAATCATCAGATTTTAAATAAGCATAACACATAAGAACTTGACCTCACTGCCACTGTATGTCTCAGGCACGTGACTCCGTACTAAGTTGGAGCTTTTCAATTTTGACGACACCCCTGTTCTCAAAATGCCTTCTTCAGCTGCTTCTGTCTTTCTTAGTCCTCTTTCTTCCACTGGCCACTCTTTTGTGGCCTCAGTTTTTTGTTTTTGTTTTTGTTTTACCATTGTACTTTTATTTAATTTTGTGTGCATATTATCACTATTTTTTAAATTTAAATCCAGGTTAGTTAATATATAGTGTAATAATTTAGGAGTAGAATTTGTGATTCATCACTTACCTATAACACCCAGTGCTCATCCCAACAACTGCCCTCCTTAACGCCCATCGCCCATCTAGCCCATCCCCCCACCCACAACCCTCAGTTTGTTCTCTCTAGTTAAGAATCTCTTATAGTTTCTCTCCCTCT